TTCTTTTCTTTTCTTTTCTTTTCTTTTCTTTTCTTTTCTTTTCTTTTTTTGAGACAGGGTTTCTCTGTGTAAACTTGGCTGTCCTGGAACTAACTCTGTAGACCATGCTGGCCTGGAGCTCAAAGATCCACATTGCCTCTGCCTCCTGAGTGCTGGGATTCGAGGCGTGCACCTCTACCACCCGGCCACCTCCTCTTTTCTATACACTATTCTTCCTCTGCAGGAAAGCATTACATCATAAGTTAAAGATTCAGCAGACTGGCTTAGTGTCACAAGCCTATGATCTCAACCCTTGGAAGGCAGAGGAAGGCGGAGCTCTGTGAGTTCGAAGACAACCTGGCCTACAAAGCGAGTCTCAAGACAGACAGAGCTACACAGAGAAACCCTATCTCGAAAAACCAAGAAGACTGAATAGACCCTATAGAGCTCCTCTTACACGGGGACTTAAGTCCTAAGCCTCAGGCATGCTAGGCACGTGCGGTATCATGGGACCACGACCCAGCTCTTCACCACGCCGGAGCTCCCATAAAATTGCTTTTAACAGAATGTCTAGGAAAAGCAGATAGGTGCTTCAGTGGGTGACTGTATAAACACGCTTTTCTCTGGGGGATGACAGGGAGGTTCTGGACTTAAGACAAGGTGATGGTTGTACAATCTGTGAATACACTGAAAAAGTTTAAAATCATCTAAGTAAGGTACTTGGTCTATTTTTCCCTGTGGAGCTCAGACCCAGGGCCTCAGGCAAGCTAGGCAAAGGCTCCCCCAGTTAGACCTATCATCAGACTGCCTGTGCTTCAATAAAATGGTGATTTTATGCTAGATGGACATATTTCAACGAAAAACTTAACAAAAATACCCCACATTAATGTTCAATGCACTTACTATTTTTTTTTATATTTCCCATGATTCTCTTGAAAAGGGAAACAAGAGTTGAAGATGTAACCCAAAGTAGAATGTTTGCCCAGTGGGTGCAAAGGCCTGAGTTCAACCCTAAGCACAAAACTGAAAAGGAACTCATAGCCCACGTTCCTGTCAAAGCTGAGGAGATACCACTTCTTCCTCAGTGACAATGAAAAAGCTCTGCAGGAAGTCCTGACACCACAGCTGGTGACATCACAGGAAACGAGTGAAGTAAGTGGACACGGGCATCAGCTGGGGACCAAAATCAAGACCAGCAAATGTTCGCTTACAAAGGAAGCAGGATTGGGGGGCCGGGTCAGAGGTTGGAGCCCAGGAGACGTTTCCTGGTTGCCCTGTCAGAGGATGAGAACGAAGCAGGGCACGTACTGTGTAGCTGGCGGAGCTGCTCTGCTTGGACACGGCAGCCTGGTACTTGGCCATGCGGTCCTTAATGGAGGTTTCGGAGAGGCGCGGCCGCTCCACGCTCCGCTTACCCTCGATTTTCTCCGAGGTGAGTGCAGAACACGAGAACTGACCTGGGGGTGTGAAATCACAGGCTTTGTTAGAGGAACAAAGGGTGACTGTAAGCTAGTGCACAACCGTGCCTATTACAAGCACAAGAAAGGCCAGGTATGGTGGCAACACGCCTTTAACAACAGCACTGGGGAGGCTGACACAGGAGGGCCACAGGTTCAAGGCCAACCTGGCTGCAGAGTGAGGCCCTGTTTAAAAAGAGAAACAAGCAAAAAAACAAAACCAACAGCCGAAAGAACACAAAAGAAAATCAGAACTGTAATTGTCTTTCATAAGGTAGTTTTAATTCACCTTCCCGCTATTAAGGGAATACCTCAATGTAAATGTACATTTTATATACACACTCACACACAGGATTTACAGTGTTTTAATTCACTTATTTTTTGTGTGGTGCTGAGGCCCAAACTCGGGTCTTGTGCACACGAAGCCCCTGGCTGGCACTAAGGTCCAGGGTGGGCAAGCCTGGTCAGGGATTCAGGGGGCACTGCCGTCCCCCACTCCAGATGGCTGTGGAGCACACCACCGGTGGCCCCTCAAGGCACCCAGGGACAGATCACGTTTGCAGAGAAAGTGCTCTGGGTGTGGCGCACTCCTGCCTGTATTCCCAGGGCCTAACGGTGCCTTTCTTCTTCAGAAGCACGGGTTCTGAGTGCAAATCCGCTCGCTTACCTGGACCTATTTCCAAGTCGTCCTGGGAGCAGCTGTTCTCAGAGAGCCTCCTTCCGCCTGCGCTGCGGCTTTGGGTCCAAAGACTCTGTCGGGAAGACAGGAAACACTGACGTCAGCTCTCTCATTAGGAAAATCCAGACTAGAAGCCACACACTCACGGTGTTCACAGGTTAAAACAGGTAACTATGCACACAAAGCCTTTTGCTCTTGCCCGCCGCCCAGCCGGCTCGCACGGTCGCTGGAGGAGAGTCCTCCCGGCTCTCCTGGCAATGACGCCCCTTGAGACCGTGAGGCGCAGGCAGCACCCGCTGTTCTCCCTCACCACCTCACTGTGGCGGCCTCCATCTCCGCTTTCTTAATGATCCCATTATCTTCCTAATTGGTTCTTTTTCCACCTCCTCATCCAGCCTTCCTGAGGCTGCCAGCATCCCAGCTGATAAAGTAATTATCCTGAAGCCTATGCCTCCCCTCAACTCCCCTCTTCACAGTTCTTCCAGGATTCCCAGTGAGACCTTGACCGCCGTGGTGAGTGAGCAGGCTCCGGTGACGCTCCTGGGATGCCCAGTGCCCCCCTCGCCTCCTCTCCGGGTATTCTCCGCCACATCCTTTATTCTTCAGGGAACTCAAACTGCTCTGAGGACCACGACCCAGCAGATGAGACTCCGTGTGTGGCATTTGTCCTTCTGTCTAGCAACAGCTATCCTTTTTCTACATACATTTATCTGCTCCTTCCCAAAGACCGAGGGCGGCCAGCCACATCTTGTTTCAACCCTTGCTAGACCACTGTGCCGTCCTTTCGCTGGCCTGCAAGCCCGCTGGGGAGACCATGCCTTGGTCCTCGCACACTTCCAGGACATGTAGCTTAACCTGTTTCTTCAGTGCTGGGGATTGAACCTGGGACCTCGCACACGCCAGGCAAGAGCTTTGTGTTGTGCTATGCTGCAGACACAGCACAGATTTCCGAATATTCTGATTCCTGAAATCCCCACGCTCTGTGTCTCATATTTTCGATAGACCTTTAATTATAGTTACCAGGTAGGCTGAGCGTGGCGCACATCCCTGTAGTTAATCTGTCAGAGGCTGGGACCAGGGAGTCAAGGCAGACTCGGCAAACACGGGGGGCTACGGGAGACCCCCTCATAAGACCCAAGGCATATAAGGTTTTCAATTACAATTTCTAGGACTTGACAACCTGCAGAGGGAATTACTGAAAGCCAATGTGCTGAGGACATTAGGCATTCCCCGCAACCCCCCACTCCTTACTTCCTTCCAGGCTGAGGGTCAAACACAGTGCCAGTGTCCCAACTTCCTGGGTGAGTGCTCTGCAGCTGAGCTTTTTAGTTTAATACCTGAGAAGCTTTTTTTTCCCCTTTAAATCAAAAGGAGTTAGCCAGGCAAGGGCAGTTAGCCAACCCGGGCAGACTGTGATGCTGAGCTCTGGACAATGCTAAGAGATGCAGTCACTGCCTTCCACAGGGAGAAAAGGTAGGAGCCACTCCGGCCTGTTGAGTTAGCTCCAGAGACCCTTTTCACAAAAGCACTGTCTTGCTGAGATCATTTTGATTCCTTTGTAGGAACAGAGGTTTTTATCGTGTTTGTCTCTTATTAATAAACACTAATAAAAGTAATTAAGCTTTTAAATGCAGTGAGCTAACTGACTTCATAAATTTACTATGTATTTAAAACAATTTATTCCTTGTTAGCGCCAATTATCCTATAATAATATACTTCAAATGAAAAACAAAATAAAGCTGAGGATGGTGACTCAAACCTGTAATCCCAGCACGGGGAGACCGAGGTAGGAGGAGTGTCATGGCTTCCGGGTGAGACCTTGCCTCGTAAAACCCAAACAAATAAAGCCCTAACTCTGCCACATCATACTCGGGTCGGGCTCACTCATATCAGCTACAGCTAGGTGACTTATTTGGCTCAATATTTTTGGCTCTGGGAAAGAGGAAAATGACAGTCAAGGTGGATATCAGGGTTTGGCAGGACCATCCACATTACTGGCTTTGCAGGCCGCTTGGGCCCAGCTTGATGTCGGAGGACGGGATGAAACATGTCATGGGGTCCAAGAAGGAGAACCAAAAATAAACCTTTTCCTTTATAAGTCGGCTATCAGTTCTTTGGTACAGTGAGAAAATTAACAGTGATCACTCAGGTTCCAAAAGTTCAACTCCAATGGTCAGTGTGCTATGAGATAATTAGAGAAAAAGGTCAGAACTTAGTATTTTTCAGGACTCAAAAGAGGAAAAATCCTGAAAATTACAAATATATCTCAAACTAAAGGATAATGATTTTTGCAGTCTGTCTCTTTCCCCCTACCCATCCCCTTCCTTCCTTTCTTTACATTTATGAGGCAGAGGACGAGACAGGGTCTTACCATATAAACCAGGCTGGCCTTGAACTTACGACTCTCGGTTATACATTCTTCTTTTTTAATGTGTGCATGTGTGAGTGCATGCATGTGCACACACACACGAATGCACACATGTTCCACGGGGCACATGTGGAGGTTGGAGGCCAACTCGCAGGACTTGGCTCTCCTGCCACTATGGGTTCCCGGGATCTGAACTCAGGACCTCTGCCCGAAAATCTCGTGCTTTTACCTGCCCTGCGCCTTGCTAGCCCTAAGTACTTACTAGTTTTTTAAAGCAAGTATTTTCTCACATGAATTGTAACAGTCACGTACGTGCATAGACACACTGTGATCAGGCTCTGCTCTCTTCTTTTTCTTTTTTGAGACAGGTCTCACTATGTAGCCGCAGCTGGATTGGAACTGACCCCAGAACCCCACTCCCCCTTTGTAAAGCCATCCTGGGGGTAGACACTTGTAATCCCAGTGCTGGGAAGTGGAGGCAGGCGGCTCCCTGACGCTCACTAGTCGCCACGCTAGCCAGTGAGTTGGCTCAGTAGATAAAGGCACTTGCACCAGGCCTAAGGATGACTTTGGCCCCCCTGCCTTCCTGACTGCCACACAGTAGTCTCCTGTCTCCTCCCCCTGTGACTTATCTGAAAACCACAGACTAAACCACGAATAAAGCTGAAGACTGGCCCTGGAGGCCTTCTTCTGAGGCAGGGGGATTCGGCTACAGGTCCAGCAGGAAGACCTTGTCTCACAACAAAACCAAAACTCAAAACAGAACAACCCCCAAACCAGCAAAACCTAAACAACAAATCCTAAAGACACCCTGGGTTCCACCGGGGCCGTGGAAACACTTCATGGCTGGTCTGGTGTGTGGAAAGCCAGGAGGTCAGGGCTAGCCTGGGGCAAACCTGGGAAGGGGGGCATGGACTGGTTCTGAGGGGGATGTGACCCAGTCACCGCAGCAGCCTCTGTTGTCACTTTCAAAGTTTCACCTTCAGACCAGAGGTGCTAAGAATGAGGCTCTCGAGCACATCTCAGATTCCATGTGGACTCCAGCTTACAAGTGACGTGACATGCAGGGGAAAGTAGTATTTCTCAGGGATGTCGGGGAAAAAGCCCAAACAGAACAAAACAGAAAGGGGTGTGTGCCACGTAGTCACATATACACACATACACACACACACACACACACACACACACTCTCACACACACACACACAGACATAAACACACA